GAATTCTTAAAGCGCCCCCCCCCCCGCCCCAGTGACATGCTTCCTCTGGCATGCTCACATCTCTTAAAAGTTTCATGACCCTCACCAAACAGTGCCATAAACTTGGGACCAAGTGTTCAAATACTTGGAGCTCATGGGGAACATTCTCATTCAAACCATGACAGAGCTATACATTTCACTATTGGGACTGGTTTTAATATGTCTCAAAAATTTGTTTATTTTGTTTACATTTTTATTTCATTCCAGGATTTTTTTTTCTTGATTTCTTCTTTAACTTATTCATCATTTAGTAGTGTATTGTTTAATCTTCATGAGTTCATGTAATTATTAGAAATTCTTTTGCTGTTGAATTTAGATTCACTGTATTGAGGTTAGCTAGGATGTATGAATTTCTTCCAAATTTTATGTATCTGTTGAGATTTGGTTTGTGTCCCAGTGTGCACTTTAGGGAAACTTCTATGGGCTACTGAATAGAAAGTATTCTCTTTGGTGTTGGGGGGACATATTTTGAAGATATGATAGGTTCATTTGATATGTGATATCATTTTATTCTGATGTTTCTCAGTTTATACTTTTTACAGATGATTGCTCTATTGGAAAAAGCAGGGTATTGAAGTCACCTACTAATGTCGAGTTGGATATAATCTATGTCTTGAAGTCTAGCCATTTTTATGAAATTTGGTGCATCAGAGTTTGGTGCATATATGTTTAGGATTGTAATATCTTCTTGGTTAATTATTCTATTGATCAGAATGAAGTACCTTTTATTTATCTGATTAATTTTAGTTTAAAATCTATTTTGACAGATTTTAGAATAACAGTGCTTTTTTGTTGATTAGTCTGATTTTGTTTGAATATTTATTTCAATCCTTTCAATCTAAGGTGGCGCTAGGGTGGGCCTGTCTTTCAAGGTAAGATGAGTTTCTTGTAAACAACAAAAAGGTGGATTTTGTTTCTTTGTTGGTTTTTGTCATTTCATTTTCTGTTTGTGCTCTTAGTTCTATATTGCTTTTCCATAATTATAGCTTTGTCTACTTTCTGTAGCCTCTTGGCTATGTTTACTCCTTTCTTCAGTTCATAGTAATGCTTCCAGTATTCTCTGTAGGACTGCATTGTTGGACATGAATTCTTTCAGCCTATTTATATCATGGGAACATTTGTCTCCACCTATGGCAGATAATTTTGCTGGGTAAAGCAATCTGTGTTGGTATCTTTGCCAGCTATACATTGGACAGAGGATTAATATGTATAATACACAAAGGACTCAAAATCAAAACAAGAAAACAAGCAACCCAATTTAATATTTGGGCAACAGATCAGAGAATAAACATTTTAAAAAGGGACCTGGAAGCCACTTCTCTTGAAGGCTAGTTATCATAGCTTCAGAAAGCACTGTGCAATCGATGGTTCAACACCAGCTTTAAAACAAAATAACTACACCAATAGCCTTCACAGCATATGGTATTGGTGCAGTAGTGGAATTTTTATCTTGGGGGTAATCAACAGCTATGCAATTGGACTAAAAGCCAACTCAATGGGAGGAAACTCATGTGTGGTACTGTGTACACAGCCAAATACACATGGCTGGGGAAGTCATAGACCTTAGAGAAAACCCCTAAACTGTCACATTCCTACACTAATCTAATTTTTTATTATATGCAAAATATCTATCCTTATATTTACAGACAAATATCCCAGTCACCACTCATCTAAGAAGCTTCTTTTGCACCTGATGGAGACTATTACGACGTACCACAACTAGTCACACTCGGACATTGTGAATTGCCCAAGTCTAAGTGGCACATCTGCAATGCAACCTCTACATAACATAGAACAAAGGATAAGGAAGACATAATGAATATCTCAGTTCTCATTAATGAAGTTCCCTTTTGCAACAGAGGGTCAAGAACATAAAAGGTCACAAATGGCCAAAGGATAGAGACTAAGAATCTGCAGAATGCTGGTCCTTGGACAGGACTCTTATATTAAACTTCACTTCCTCAGGGCTCAGGAACCATTGCAGAAGAGGGGGCAGAAAGATTCTAAGAGCCAGGGAGGAGGTGCATGATCATATGGAAATAGAGTCCTAGACACTTCTGAGACCCTGCTCATATGAACCTACAGCAGTGGTATCAGCATGCACAGGACCTAGGAAAGCTCAAACAGACAAAAGCCCAGCATAGAACTGGGGAAATGGAGAGCTGACCCCCATCTTAGCTGAAAAAATATTGGCAACTGATTTCTGCTGGGTGAGGAAGAGCAGATCTTAGGAAAAACTCTAGATAAGCTGATTAGACCTTGGTAGATGAACTTACACTGAGGGATGTCTGGGGACACTAACTTGGCACAATAGGCCTTAAGACAAATAAATTTCAGTGAGGGTGGGTGCTATGGGAGGATGACAGTGGGGAAGGGGGTATAAAGACAATTAAAATTGATGAGATGTTCTGTACGAAATACACAAAAATTCAATAAAAAATACATATACAAATAAAAAAGTGTTCAATACCATTAGCCATCAGGGATCTGAAAATTAAAATGTTTTTGAAATCCCATCTTACCTCAGCCAGATAGGCTATCATCAAGAAATCCAGTAACAACAAACACTGAAGAGGATGTTGACAAAGTCCTTTTTTCACTGTTGTGAATATTCACTCTTTAGTAATGTGCTGCAACTACTATGTGATTTCCTTAAAAAACTAGAAGTAGATTTACCATATGACTCAACTGTGTTACTCCTGCACACATGCCCAAAGGAATCTATATCTCTTCCTTGAGATAAAGTAGCCTAACTAGGGACATATTGTCCTTATCATGAGGAAGAAAACAAAGAGTTTCTAATAGCCCTTTACTCTAGAGCAAGTGAAAGCTTTCAGAAGGATATAAAGTGAGGCCATAGAACTACTTTTTATTGTTCTATCACCATAATTTTGACCATTCTAAACTAGAAAATCCCTGAGGAATTTAGCTCTGCAAAAACCACCTACACAGCCCTAGATCACTCTCAGGGAAGAAGAAAAAGCAAAATACACACTTCAAAATTCTCAAAAACCAAACACACTTGGGAAAAGAGGCAAAGAATTTTATATCCCACACAGATAGGAGAGAGACATAGTGAAAACCCAAGGATAAGGATAAGGATAAGGATAAGGATAAGGATAAGGATAAGGGCAAGGGCAAGGACAAGGGCAAGGACAAGGACAAGGACAAGGATAAGGATAGGTTTTGCTTTAAGCAGTGAATGCATCTTGGCAATGTGATAGACTGAACAGCCCATTGTCCACTGCATGCTATCACATTACTCTTTCTAATCTATTGTAAAACTGACATGGTAATTACCTCGCCCCCCATACACACCTTTTTTCTCCCTTTGTCTTTCCATCACTTTTTCTCTGCCCCTCCCCTCCTCATAAATATAACAATAGCATTCATACTACAGGGTTGTTGAAATGGCTCAGCAAGTTAAAAGGCACTTGCTACACAACAACCTGCATTGGATACCTAGGACCCATATGGTAGCAGGAGAGACCAAGTACTGCACTTGTCCTCTGACCTCAAAATGTATGCTGTGATGCTGTGGA